ACTCATACACATAAAATAATAAATAAAATATTTTAAAAAAGAAATTCCCTATTGAAAGACTACATATACCTGATAATATTGACTAAGAACAGACAACACAAAGACATAGTCTGGTATAATTATTGGACTTGAGGGGAACTAAAGATAGCGAGATAGAAACTACAGGTGACCTTGTGATAGTTAAGTTTGATGATAAGCCTGATTGAGCTAAGAACCAGCTAGGGCATCAGTGAGGTAGAATTTGGCTGTGCCTGCCAGGGCATTTTGGAGAGGATTAGCTGAAGAAGAAAACCCACCCTGAATGTGAACAGTATCATCCTGAATGTGAACAGTATCATCCCGTGGGCTGGGGCCCTGGACCGAATAAAAAATAGGAAAGGAGAAGGCCAGCGAGTGCCAGAATCCCTTCTACCCCCTTGTCCCCCCTCCATCCACCCAGAGGTGTGTAAGCAGCCTTACCCTCTTCCCGCCACACTAAGAACCACTCTGTTGTCACACCTTCCCCATCATGATGGATGGTCCCCTCAAACCATAAGCCAAAATAAGTCTTTCTTCCCTGTCTATCACAGTAGTGAGAAAAGTAACTGATAGAGACCTCTGTCATTGGGTGGACATTCTGGCTAGCCTGCAGCAAAAGTGTCAAAGCCATTGAGATAACTCAGAAATTCCTCTGTGAACCTGTTTTTACTTATCAGGTGGTATCCATCCTTAAACGGGGGAAACAGGATCATCAAGTTCCTCAAGTGGAAAAACTAGCTGGGTTGTTTGAGGAGCTGGAGGCCCAGGGGTGGTGACTTGTACCCATCAATCAACTGGCAAGGTTCACAGCCTCTGTAGATTACCTGGATGGTCTCCTCTGGGGTACAGATGGTGCAGAGCCAACACAGCACTTTCTTAGAGCTGACACAGCCACCATAGATACACAGGTGCCCTGATTCACCTCCATACTTGATTCTTCTGTTTCTTGAATGTGGGCCCTTGCAGGGAATATTTTTCTTTCAAAAACTGTTGGGGATTAGATTGCCAGGTATGGTGGCGCATGCCTTTAATCCCAGCACTTGGATCCAGCAGGTGGATCTCTGTGAGTTTGAGGCCAGCCTGGTCTACATAGCGAGTTCCAGGCCAGGTGGGACTACAGGGAGACCCTGTCTCAAATAAAAACAAAGAAACAAACAAACAAAAAAACTATTGGGGATTAGATTAAGGCAGTTGGTTTCAGAGGACCTGGCATTTCAGGTTTAAGAACATCTGTATAATTTTCACAAGCCAGGTAGGACCTGTGACAGAATTGGCCATTTGAATACTGAGTATCCCATCTGGGAATTTTCACCCATCAAATCCAAGGTTGGGATCTATAGTTCTACATATCTGACATAAACATTTCTTTCCTCAGATAAATTTGACTTCAACCATTTCCTCCTGTTTTTGGACATCTAATTCTTTTTTTTTTTTTTTTTTTTTCTTTTTGAGACAGTCTCCCTATAGCCCCAGCTTTCCTGAAACTCACTATGTAGACCAGGCTGGCCTCAAACTCACAAAGATCCTCCTGCCTCTGCCTCCCAAGTGCTGGGATTAAAGGCGTGTGCCACCATGCCAGCCTCTTTTTTTTTTTTTTTTTTTTAATTTTATTTTATGTGTATGCCTGTATTGTCCGCATGTAGGTAAGTGCACCCATGTTGTGCAATGCCCATGGAGGTCAGAAGAGGCTGTTGGATCCCCTGGGATTGGAGTTATAGACAGTTGTTGGCTGCCATGTGGGTGCTGGGATTCAAACCCTGGTCTTCTGCAAGAACAACCAGTGTTGTTAACCCATGAGCCATCTCTCCAGCCCTGGACATCTAATTCTATAGATTTCTAATCTCACATAGATAATGCCCAAGGATGACAAATATTTTTGTGTTTTCATTGTTGTGTAAAATAAAATAGTAAGGATAATCTTTAAGACACAGCAATCCTTCATTCAGCTCATTGTTGGATTTAAGGAATTTTGTAGCAAATAAGTCCTTCGAAAGAGTTCCAAATTTGTGTGTGTGTGTGTGTGTGTGTGTGTGTGTGTGTGTGTATTCTTGTGTATACCATATTTTATATTTTAAGGTTTTTTGTTTTGTTTTGTTTTGTTTTGTTTTTGAGACAGGGTCCCCTGTAGCCCAGCTGGCCCGGAACTTGCTATGTAGACCAGGCTGGCCTTGATCACACAGAGTTCCACCTGCCTCTGTCCTCCAAGTGCTGGGATTAAAGGTGTATACCACCATACCTGTTGTATATCATATTTAAATTTTTTTATTTTTTATTTGTGTGTGTGAAGGTACTCACAGAGGCCAAGAGAGAGTGTTGAATTCCCTAGAACTGGAGTTACAGAGGGTTATGGGCCACCCAGTGTAGGTGGTGGGAAACCAAACTTGGGCCCCTGGAAGAGCAGTAAGTGCTCTTATATAAGTCTTTTTTTTTTTTTAACCACATTTTATGCCAGAAGAAAATGAAGTAACATATTTTGCATTCTCAAGAAATGTTATCCAGCGCTGGAGAGAGAACTCAGTGATTAAGAGCTCTGACTGCTCTTACAGAGGACGCAGGTTCAGTTCTCAGCCCCCACATGATGGCTAACGACCATCCTTAATTCCATTTCCAGGGTATCCAACAATCCCTTCTGGCCTCTGTGGGTATTGCACAACGTGGATGCACTTACATACCTGCAGGCAAAATACTCATATACCTAAAAAATACATTTTAAAAAAGTAATATAATCCACCTGGGTGTGGTGGCGCACTCCTGTAGTCCCAGAACTTGGGAGGCAGAGGCAGGAGGATCTCTGTGAGTTCAAGGCCAGCCTGGTCTACATAGTGAGTGCCAGGACAGCTGGGGCTACAGGGAGACCCTGCTTCAAAAAGACAAAAGAAAAAAAAAAAAAAGTAATATAATCCAACAGTTTTATGCCCAACAAAACTGACAGTGAACACAAGCTGATATGAACCTGTGTACATTAAGCATAGTGACTTGTAGAATTACAGCTAAGTGACTTGTATAAGGGAAACAGTATACTGTCAATTGCTGCATAGCTCAGACTGTGCAGATGTAGTACCTCTACTTAATAGAGCACGCCTTTAATCCTAGCACTTGGGAGGCAGAGGCAGGCAGATCTCTGCAAGACTAGGCCAGCCTGGTCTATGTAGAGAGTTCCAGGCCCGCCAAAGCTACATAGTGACCCTATGTAAAAAAAAAAAAAAGTAGAAAAAGGAAGCATATCAAACAAGTTATTTCCGGTGATTGATCAGTGATAACTTTGGTGTTGTAGTCTGAGACTACTATTTGTGAAATGTGGGGTCTATCAAATGGATCACTGTGAGGTGTTTTTCATCCTTGAGAACAAGAATTCTGATGTAGAACAGAAGTAGATCCCTTGAAATCTAGAAAAGATTAAGAAATGGGTGACTCTTGTTATGAGGTGGAAGTGAGTTTGCAGTATGTTTTATTATTTATATGTCCACTGGGGAGTCTGGAGACAGTGAGCAGCCCAGTGCCTCTGGGCCTTGCTGGTATCCAGATTGTGATCTTGAAGCATCATTTCTCACAAACCACAACAAAAGAAATCCAGGGTTTGTTGTAGAAATGGCTCTAGTGAGGTGCTCCAGTGAGGCTGGGTGTCTTGTTCTCCCCCATAGGCGGACAGCTGTGGAGGCCAGAGGGACCCAGAGACACTAATTCTTTTTGTCCCCAAATCAGAAAGTTTGAATCTCAAAAAAGGAGAGCAATAGCTTTGGGTCAAACCTGCCAAACTGGATTAAATCATGGCCTCATCCTGGCTTCCCCCCACCACCCCTAAAAGTCTTTCAGAAAGTGGCAGAGAAGTATAAAACTCATGATTCTGAAACCTGATTATGTTAGATACTTTTCTCAAATACTTAACAGGAAGCAACTTACAGGTGGAGAAGTTTGTTTTGGGTCACAATTTGAGGATACAGTCTATCACTATGGGGAATTTGGGGTCATAATTTGAGGGCATAGTCCATCACTGTGGGGAAGTTGTGGTGGCAGGAGCAGATCTTGGCTGTGGCAGAAACATAAGGCTGCTTGTTCACATCCTGGTGGTTCAGGAAGCAGAGATGGGATAGGAAGTGGATGAGGCTATAAACCTCAAGGCCGACTCCTCAACAACCCTCCTAAACCATCTCCTAAAGATTTTATAACCTCCCAAAACAGCACCGCCAGCCAGGTGTTCAAACACAAGAGCCTGTGGGGCTATTTTCCACCCAAACCATAACACTGACCAGTACCAGGGCAGAATCAAGTATTGGTCTGGCAAGTACTAAACTGTGCTTCCCATTAACCACACAGAAATAGCACCTGAGGGAAGGCATCCTTGTACAGGAAACTAGTCAGTGACTGAGAGTGACATGTCAGGCCATCAGCATTTGGCCCATTCCATGGTATAGTCAGTGGGTGTAGGCCCAGAGCATCAACTGCACACGTCACAGAAAGACAAGATGCCACAGGACCTGATGGGAGACACCCCACTTGTCCTCTTATCAACAAGACTATGGCTGTGTCTAATCCAGCTGCACGTGTGCAGGAAACCCATAGGACAGAGGAACACACTGGACTGCACCATGAGGGTGCAGGCAGCCAGGCCAGACTGTAGGAGACTCTACCACTGAAATGCAGTGGGTTGGTTCCCTAACGGACTGTGTGGAAAACAAAAGGATGGAGAGCAGACTGATGCTTGCTTGGTGTAACTGGCAAATTTCAAAACTGTACACATTCATAGCCAGGGCAGATGGAAACCAGGGTCATCCTCAGTTTGTAGGAAGGGCCAAGTCTGCACAGAGCAGCCAGGCTAAAAAGGCCACTTTTAGGCACTGCTAGAACTGCGTCTGGGCCAGCTGCTTCTCCCACCTCCCACCCCAACCAGCCTGGCCACCTGCCATTTGCCTCAGGCTCCTGGTCCCCATGGGAGCTGTGGTCCCAGTTTTATCATCAGCCTCCTGTGCTGTGGTTCTCCACAGGATCCGCCAAGAGAAAACAGACACTGTCCGCTGCATCAAGTCCTGTCGCCCCACTGATGTTGCCTGCATGCGGGACCCTGTGCATACCATCTCCCACACTGTCATCTCATTGCCCACCTTCCGAGAGTTCTCCCGCCCTGAAGGTGAGTGGGTCAACGTAGAGGTCCCAGGACCCACTTCAGAGCCTCCTTCTATTTGAGTGGAGAGCCCAGCCTGCAGGAATCCCTTCCTTGTAGCATGTGGTGGGGTAGATGCATGTCTTTCCTGCTGGGGCACCTTGGCTGCACAGCCTTCTGAGGTAACACTCGTCCTGTAATCAGTATTCAGTGTTGAATCCATGCTGAATACTGGGGAGCCAAGGACTACTTCTGAGAGAAAGTGACTTCCATGTTAGGGCCCACTGGTGAATAGGAAGTGATTAGCACATGGGGAGAAGGATAGAGGAAATTGCTAGGCAGAACAACAGGTCACAGCTGGTAAAGTCTGGAGATGAGTGGGGCAGTGTGGTCCAAACCACATGGTTCTGGCTGGAGCGGTAGTTGCTTGGCAAGAGACAGGCTGGAAGGATGAGTAAGAGCCGGAACTTGAAGCTGAGGCTTCACCCCAAGGCTCTGGGGAGCTGTTGAGAGGTTGTAATTGATGAGTTTGACATGTGGAAACATCTTGGAGCCTGAGGAAGACAGACAGTGGAGCTGGGCTGGAAGCAGGGTGCTCAGGGTAACATGATCATTCTGTGTCCTACCTCATTCTCCAAGGACATGGCACATACCATCAAAGCACATTTCCCAGGGTTTTCTGGGGCTGCATGCTCCCAGGGGAAGTATGCCCTGTTCTGCTCTGGTCCCCATCCACCATCCTCCACATGGAGTCTCCCTCCCTGGCTCACCATGACTAGTCCATAAGCTGACATTCAGTGAGCTTATGTGTCTGACTCTGGGAACGTGGTGATAAGAAAGATTGAAGATGTGCAACGGAGCCAGGCAGGATGATTCTCTGAGATAATGCTGTGATGGAGTCATGCAGGGTCACCACACAGCAGTAGTGGGAACAGGAGAGACTCTCCAAGGCCAGGGTTGTCCTGAGGGACAATCCCAGGCCCCAACTCCCTCTCCACTGGCTCATTCCTCCAGAGAAGGAAAGGCAGTCTTCATGGGGAGATGGGGACAGACCTGTTGCAAGAAGGCACAACTGATACTTGCCTTGTGCAAAATGATAAGGTTTCAGCAAACCTACACACAAGTCCTTTCCAAGTTCCCAGCAGACATTTTTATGGCTGCTCCAGCCTGCGTTGATATAAAGGTTGGTTACCCACATGGGTGTAATCAAGACACCAGGTAATGTCTTGGGCTCAGGAAATCCAGACTCTGGCCTTTAGTGCTAGAAGGACCCTCAATGGACACCAAACAGCTGCCTCTTCCACTTTACAGCTGGGGAAACTGAGGCCCAGTGAGCAAACTTCCCCCAAAGCACCCTGAGCCAGGATGGAGTCCCAGCCAGGCTCCCAGGCCAGGCAGCTTGGTTGACTTCATTGTGAGGTGATGTGGAACATAGACCAGCCTCCACTGCCCAGTCCAGCCCAGGAGCACTGCGTCTGACCCTCATTGCTGCAGGCAGGACAGCCTTTTGCCCTCACGCACCTCCTGTCCCCTTTCCCAGTGTCCTCACTATTTGTAATCAATCACTGGTCACCTGTACTGACACCACTACCACAGGGACCACATGACCACAGAGAAGATAAAAATATGTCTCAAGGGGCTGGAGAGATGGCTCAGCGGTTAAGAGCACTGACTGCTCTTGCAGAGGACCCAGGTTCGATTCCCAGCACTCACATGGTGGCTACAAACTGTCCTTAACTCCGGTTCCAGGGGAATCCGAAGCCCTCTTCTGACCTCTGCGGCATTGCACGATATGGGTGCACTCACATACATGCAGACAATGCACTCATACACATAAAATAAAAATAATAAATTAAATATTTTTAAAAATATGTCTCAAAGCCTCAGTTTCCCCACTGATAAAACAGGCATGCATTATGACATGCTGGCCAGGACCCTTACACACAGAGGGTCGGTGCCTTCAGTAATGTTGCCTTGGGAACATTCCTTCATGTTTGGTATTGGGGTGAGCCTCTGGGATGGAGAGGGCTGGGCCCAGTGCCAAACTGTTCCCACTCTGACCTCTCAACTTGCTACAGAGATCATCTTTCTGAGGGCCATCACGCCACTCTACCCTGCCAACCAGGCCGACATCATCTTCGACATCACAGAAGGAAACCTGCGGGACTCCTTTGACATCATCAAACGTTATGAGGACAGCATGACCGTGGGTGAGTACCAGCTCCACAAATCCCACGATTGACCAAGGTGATGTGCCATGTGGCGGGACAACCCTCTCATTACCATCAGAGTCCCCCTCCCACCAAGTCCAATCCCATGTGTCCTTCAGATTCTAGCTGGTAGCCCCCACTCAGGCCAGCATGAAGGAATCCACTGCATATCCACCCTGACCATGCTCCTGGCTCTGCTCAGTCTCCCCACTTACAAAAATGGGTGGATTAAATAAACCACTCACCCTACAACTGAATTTCAAAGGCTGTTGTCCCTGTGCCAGAGCTAGGTGGGGTGTCTTGGTCATTGGGAGCCTGTGTGACTGTTACTGCCGTGGTGCTATGAGAGGACGAGCAAGCTGAATGCATTAGTTACTTTTCTGTTGCTGTGATAAAACACTATGGCCAAGGCAACTTACAGAAGGAAGAGTTTATTGGGCTTACGGTTCCAGAAGGATGAGAGTCCGTCATGGAGGGGAGGCGTGGCAGGAGGCAGCCAGAGGCAGAACACTGAGCGCTCACATCTTCAAGCAGGCACGGGAAGCAGAGAGACAAGCTGGCAAGGGCGGTGGTTCTGAACTCTCAAAGTCCACCCCCAGTGATGTGCTTCCTCCAGCAAGGCTGTGCCTCCTAAGGACTCCATGACCTTCCCAAAACAGCACCACCAACTGACTGGGTGTTCAAATTCTTGCATTTATTCGCGGGGGGGGGTCCTCATTGAAACTGCTGCACTGGGCTTCAGAGGACCCCAGCTCTAGACTCGGCTACGGAACTACCTTGACTTCCCATGCAACCTAGATCCACTTACCATCCACTCCCCATGCACAGTGGGTATGAGAACCCAGCCCGTCATTGCTCAGCCCTTTGGTGTGTGGAGTCTGCTGCTGTTCCTCCCTGGAGACTCAGTGTTTTGGAGGCAGAAAGGAGTCTGAGGCAAAGACAAAGTTCCTTAGAGGCCGCAGCCAGGCTTAGTAACAAGAAGGGAAAGGGATGAGCCAGGCACCGGGACTGGCCATGGGGAAGGCTCAGAGGGAAGGAAGGGAAGCTGAGAAGCTGAGGGCCGGTCCCACCTCCCACCGGCTTCTGCAAGGTATTTTGGAGCCTTCATGGTCTAGGCTCGAGAAGAGCTTTGGGGAACCTGGTCCCCAGGTGGCGCTGTTGGCTCTTGGAACCTCAGTCCCTGCCGCCCCAACCTGGACAGTTGCTAAACTGGCAGCTGGAGAAAGGGAATCGTTATTCCCCTGTTGCCAAAGAGCCATTTATAGCGACTTTACAAGCTCTTAAATGGGTTTGCGTGTTGTAAACACGACTGAGTCATTTGGGGGCTCGCCACCCCCGGCCTCCTCCTCCGCTGGTTGGCAGCAGAGATAATTAGTTAATTACAATTAATAGTACAGCAGCCCTTGCCATGATTCTGAGGGGCGGGCACACAGCCTGGCTGCCGGCCGTCTTGAGCCTCGCCTTCAGCTGTGGATGAGGGCAGATGTGGAGGTGGGAAGGGCCGAGGTTTGTCCCACCGCAGGTGTGGGTGGGGAATGAGCATCCTGGCAGTGGCCCACAGAAGCCCCCGAATGCTTGCCCTGCGAGTGACCTGCAGCTGTGGGGCGACACAGCCCCAGCCCCTGTGATTGCAGTCAGAGAACCTTCCCGTTTACTTCCTCTCTCTTTCCTTCTGTACACTGTGAGGAACTGGCCCAGGCCAGCCTTGCACACAGAGGTGGGCTCTGTCCCTAGTTCTTACCTTCCAGCAGAGGAAAGCACTGTCCCATCAATGGATCCCACCACCCCTCTGAGACAGTGTGCCTTCAGGGTTGCATGAGGTCTTCATGGCCCACTTGGGCTCCCTTGGGGATGTGGCTCTTGCCATTCCCATTTCTTCCATTCTAAATCCATCCTGGGGTGACACGAGCTTGGAGGTTTGGCAGAAGTTGGGCCCAGAATGAGGATACTAGTGCCCATGGTAGGCCATATCTGTACCCCGGATAGAACAACATTGTGAGTGTCTGCTCACCTTCCAATCCATGGGCAGAAAATCCTGGTGTGCCAGAACTTGGAGGCCCTATGTTTCCCAACCACTTCTTATACTAAAAGAAAAACTAAGGTCCAGAGAGATGAGGGGTGTTCCGGCCTTCTCCCAGGGGCTCAGGGCACAGTAGGCCGCAGGGTGAGTAGTAACCACAGGTACTGTTGGGACAGTGGTATTCTGGGAATGAAATGCAGCTGAGGCCCTGGGGAGTGAGTGTCCCCTCACTGTGGCATGGTCATAGGTGCCCTGATCTTTGGAATTCTGAGCTGGGACAGTGTGGGTGGTGGGCCCCCAACCCTTAGGAATTTGGGGGCTCATCTCTCTGTCTACTGGGTGGCCTAGCCCCTTCCTCTCCCCGGAGGGTTGGCAGGATGTCCAACCCATCTGGTGTGCATGTCATCCACTAGATGGGGCAAGTGCCACTGAGTGGGGACCAAGGCCATGCTTGTGGCTGTGCTCCCATCTCAGACCCCTTCATTTCTGGCCTTATCTCTCTGTTTGGGACGCCTTCCCTGGGCTTGCTTGTTGCCTCCTCCCTCTCTTTTTTCTACCCAGAAGCATCTCTGCACCACCTCGGGACTCCCCCAGGAGCCACCCTGCACAGAACTCCAGGCCTGTCCACTGGGGGATGGGTTTTTCTCATCCTGGGTTTGAGCCCAGCATGAGGCAACTCTGGGAATGGGGTTTAGCCCTCATGGCTTCTTGCCATCGCTGCATACTCTCGCCCCCGCGTTCTTGTTGAGTCCTTGCAAATACCACTGTGCCAGGGATGGGACAGGAACCTCTCCCTTGGGCAAAGAGGGAACGGAGTCCAATGACCGCCTAAGACCTTCCACTGGAAAAACCGGAGGGCCGGATGTCTGCTGACTTGTTTTGCATAGTATGGTACTCACTTCGGGCCCCATCTTAGACAGCAGTCCTGTGTGTTGGTCATCAAGGAGAGCATGGTTTCAGGCTATGCAGCCCTGCTGTCTGCTGCTCTCCCACCTGGACTCAAGAGGCTTCTGTGACCCCAAGAGCCATGCAGCTCTGCTTCCTGCAGCTCACAGCAAGGGGACCTGCCTGCTTATCACACTCACTGAACGCCTGCTGCTCTAGGCCGAGCCCAGTGTGGACACTGCACACCCCACAGACAGCTTCCTGAAAGAGGCAGGACCTAGTCTCAGTCTCCCCACATACGTAGGAGCCTCGAGGACTGAGCCAGTGACATACCAGGAACTGGCATTCAGTCCCTGCCATGGTCCTAGGACACAGAGAAATCGTCTCTACACAGGGACTGAGGAACAAGGTCCGGAGGGGCTCACCTGGCAGTGGGGATCAGAACTAGCATGAACCTAGACTTCTGCAGAGCTGGAACCCACAGGTAGACGGTGCTGATGCAAACAAAGCTTCTCTAAGTTTGGGTGTCCAAATAACCAATAGATGTGCCTCCAGACCCCCGTGGCCACGGCATTCAGCCTCTCCAGAGTGACAGGAGGGCAAAATACCTGAGCGAGCGAAGAACTGAAAGGCCAGGCTCCCTCTAATGTAGTCCTTGGGTTTTAGGAAACCAGGGAGACACTGCCCAGGGCTGAGCTGTTGTCTCTGAAAAGCCCCCTTGCATTCCTCTCTCCAGCTGTCAGTGAGAAGTGAGGAATGTTTCTCCAGCCTGTGCAGAAATGCTCTATTAATGCCTGGGGCATGCTTGGGCCACGACAGCACTTCCCTATCCTGCTCTAGGTTCATACTTTGCTCTGTGGGGGCCCAGGCTGCAACCAGGGTGCTTCTGGAAGTCGAGTGATGATTAGTGGGGAGCCTTGGCCACGATGAGCATGGGCCACTCATTGTCAGCCTGGACCCCCACCCTAGACTCTCTAGGCTACTGGGCTCTATCAGGTACCTAGGCCCCGGGCCTCCCCTCTACCCTGCCTGCTCACTACTTTTCAACTCTTTCCAGGGAGTGAAAACTGTCTAGAATGAGGGTTGACTTTGCCTCAGTTTCTACTAAGCCCTCACCAAGGCTAAAAGCAGAGAGCACTCAGCTGGCATGGTTGCTTGTTTTGTTTTGTTTATTTGGCTTTCGGCCTAATTTTACATTGGCATCCTGACCAACCCCCCTGGGGCCCTTAGAGGTTGCAAAGATCACCTGGTAATTGCATGCCATCCGTGATGACATAGGTATAACAGTGGCACAGTCAGGGCAGGCTTCTCAGAGGAGGAACTCAAATGCCAGGCATTGATATCTGGGAGATGTGTAAGGGTCACGTTAGACCCAGGGCTGCCCCACTCCACCCCAATGAGGCGACCGTGAAGCCTGTTTGTGGTCTGTACCCACTGGTGTCTATACCACTGGCATCTCCCAGCAGCAGGTAGGCCTGGGTCCTATATAAAGAGTCATACTGGGTTCCTGAGTCCCAGTCCCCCTTTAGGAGTAAAGACCTCTCAGATCCATGTGGCCAAGAGGTGAGGTTCACAACATTGTCATGCTGGTCACTGGGGATGGGACAGGGTTCTGGAACACTCCTCTGATTCTCCACCTAGCAGATACCCATGTGTCCCTGCTCTGACAGGTGCTGTACCAGGGCTTGTGAGGATGTTCAATAAGAAGCCCTCCCCTCTGCCTATGAGCTGGCAGCCTGGGCCTCCAGGGCCCCTGAACCTGAGCGATTCCAGGGTGGGGAATTCCAGGTGGCTACCGGGGTTGGCCTGTGATCCAGGGAGGCCATTTGGGAGCTGAGCAGGACCTTCCAGCTGGAAACAACTAGGAAGAAAAGCTGTTGTAGCATGGCACATTGGTTTCTGGGAGAGCCCCAGGGTCTGACTTATTGTGTGTGCAGGGCTGGGTGAGGGACTGGGAGCAACTGTGGGTGTGTATGGAGGACCATGGGGGTGATGAGCAGGTACGTGGATGTAAGTGCCAGGTGGACAAGTGTGTAGGTGTGCATGGTACATGATTGCTGATTCACCTCCTACTCTGGTTGGAGAAGGCGCACCA